GGAATGCTTAAGTTTATACTTAAATTTTCAGTAGAGAGAGGATAAAGTTTTTCACAAATTCATTGATATCGACAGAGAAGTAGATATAAAATCTGTGAAAAGTTTTCAGTTTTGAAAGTAATTTTTTCTAAAACTGATTTACTGAGTAGAAATTGTTCCTGGAGCAGATATTATGTTTTAATAAGTTAAAGCATTTAATGGATCAAATATCATAAATTCATTAATTATTCTGTATGAGTTTAATGCATAACTTTAGAAAGTATTTTGTGGTTGTTTGAACTCTTCATATTAATCTTTGTTGATGTTTACTGGAAACGACCTTAAAAATCAGAACTTTTTGTCAAAAATTCCAGAAATTTTCTTTTAAGAATGAGAAAAAAAGTAACAATTTCCATGCACAATGTAACAATAATGATGATACGGAGATTACAAAAGGAGCTTTTACTACCATATAATGATATACAAATATCCCAGTGCATATTCTCATCCATATCAGTTGATGTCTGTTTGTGTGTATAGAAAAATAATCTCATAGCAACAAATTCCCCAAATGGGGATGAATATAAATTTATTATTTTTTTTTCTCTATGAACCGAACCCTTTTATTATGACTGTTAAATTTGTGTATATGTATATGAGATATTTATACATGTATACATGTTGTAAATCTAACAGATAGATATAAATTTATTATTCCATATGATGATTATTATTTTTTTCTCTTTACATCCTCTATTCAGTTCCAATGTACATAAAAGTGGAATTAAATTCTATTCATAAAAGCTAGGATGAAATATTGATAACATTGAATGTTCATACAACGTATTGTTAGATTTAAACGAAAAATTGCATTTTAGAGCATGATAGATATCTATCTATAGATTATAAAGTCTGACAAAGAGAATAAGCTTTAGAAAAGAAGAAGGATAAAAGGAATTAAAAACAAAAACAGAAACAACAAAACACAGTTTTAATTCACAAATAGTTCAGATTGTTTAGAATGTGAACGCATTTTGCCAACTTAAGATACTTGGTTAGTCCAATGAATCTATTTACACTCTTAAAATGACTTTGCAACATGTAAGCTGATTCACTTTCATAATGCTCTTTAGTTACATCACTCGATATGAGATCAATTGATCAGCAAGAAAAAAACAAATGACGATATATTTGTTCCGAAAAAGTACGCTAAAATCCATACAATGCGATACACAAAGATGTATGATAGATAGATAAAAAGATTATTATTGTAGCAAAATCAGATTTTGCAAGTATCAAACTTCACGTCACATTGAGCCTTTGGCCATATAAAGTCATTATAGTTGTGTATGTGGGGAGAAAATATGAAATGAATGAGAATTTGTGATACACATAGAAAGTATGGGAAGCATCAGTTTTTTTTGTATGGTATGAGACAAAAATATGGAGTACGTGGAAAATTGAAGTCCCTTTTGTGGATTAAAATAATATTATTGCTTGGGGACATTAGTGTTACTACTGCTGTTTCGTCTTCAGTATATATATAATAGTTATATTAGAGAAATAGATTCATTAAGCCATGACCAATTAAAGCTTCATATCCTCATGAAACATGAAATCTCTCTCTAAATATTAAACTTAATGGTATTTTGCCTCGAAGAACATAAAGTATGCTTTCTAAGTACATAATATAAATTTATATAAATACTCAGAGACATCATTCTATCAGCTCCGAAAAATAATTTTCTCTCTCACTCTCCCATCTCATGTAGGAATTAAGGGAAAACGAAAAATTTATGAAACGGAATGATTTTGTTTAAATCCAAGGATTTTTCATTTATTTGCACAAGAAGAAGTTCTCTTATGTGCCTCAGCTCGTATTAACTTTCTGAAAAGAATTTGTAAAGAGGAAAAATTCCATCTAATTGCACTGGTAAATTTCGCACATTCATACAGCACGCAACTTCCTATTATTAACGCAAATATTGTACAAGAGGATCTCATTTGTCTGTGGCACGCACCAATGAACATTGTACAATGAAAATGCCTTGAATTTTTAATCGATGAGGAACAGAAAAGAGCGGATGGAGCAGAAATGAAAGGAAAATTTGTTAGGATATAATAAAAAAAGTAAGAAGGTCTCAGGGTTGAGTTTTTGAAGAGAACAATCGAACTAATACTTTTTAAGAATTAAAGGGATTTAAATTAAAAATTTTAATTTTACATTGATTTTAATACGTATTGTATAAGTGGTTCTAAAACCACATCAAAACTCTTAATTTAAAAATAAGCCCTAGTGAACTAAAACCCATTCATTCTCGATCAGAGCTAACAAGAGCTGCGTGCTTGAATAGCAAGTAAAATTGAAGAAATATGATAACGATTTAGTAACATGCACAAAAATAATTTTCCAATCTTGGATTACAGTGCGTAATTTTTTCATTCCATCTGCTATTCAACAATAGATTCACTCATTCTTGTCTACCTTTTCGTGCATGCAATTTCATTTTTGCATAATTGATGAATTCAAACCCGTTGTGTGTATGGGGAGTGAGAGATAAACAAAATAATCCGATAAGCATGTGATGTTGGCAGGCTGTTGATGAAAAAGAGATTTTTTTTCTAGTTGTGTAGGGATGAGAATAGAATTTTTTGATAACAACCGTGTCGAAAGCACACGTCAAACTAAATTTGCTTCAAATATCATTTTTTAATTCATTAGACAGAAAATTTTCCTACATCTATCGTATTTTGTTATCTTTCAGCTGCAGCAGATGAGTTGTCTTCAGGCATTTAATCTTCTTTTATTTTTTTTTTTCATTACCCACGCCCACGCAAATCAGATTGAATAAACGCATGATTTGCAGCAGGCAATAAGAGTAATTGCAAGTGATCTCCCATCCACAAAACATCGCTAGTCGCAAAGAATAATAATCATCCTCATCATCTTCAAGTGGAGTGCGTTGTACATAAAAAAAAAAGTTTTCTTTTTGATGTCTTTTGCTCGTGATTTTGTATTCATGATTTTTTCTGACGTTGATTTAGAGAGGTAAAGAAATTGAATACGCAAAAAATATAAAAAAAATTGCACAAAAGGCAAGGGATGAATATTTCAAAAATTAATTTATGCAATGAAAAACTCGGGTTTTTCACCTTTGTTTGATGAAAATTGGAAATTCTTATTTTCCTAGAATTTTTATATATCAAACAAAAAGTTTGATACATGATTTGAATAATTTTTCCTTTGGCATTATAATGAATTAAATTTAAATTAATTCAAAATATGAAAGTGTGAGACAAAAAATTGATGAGTTAAAATATTTTTGTGTGCTTCTTCTTTTCAGACATGTTTAAGGATACAAAATTGTGAATTGATGAGCTAATTGGAAAATGACTCAAAGTATTTGATTAATATTGACAGTCGAGGAATTTTTCAATGAATTTATTCAGAATCTATTTCAAGAATAAAAAGTATTAATACCATTCTTACAAGTTAAGCTCCCTTTCAAGCACCTATATTTAAAACTTCATCTCAAATCCTCCTTCATACAAAACTTGACAAAAATCCTTTTTTAACTCCCGTCAACAATTGACTGTTGCTTTTTTGTGAATCAGAAGGAATTTCTATTGTTTTCTACACCAAAAATAAAAGGCTTTTGAGATAAGTTGAAGCACTTGATTCAATCACAAAGTAAAAATACATTCATGAAGATGAGAAGCAACGAAAGAGAAAAATGCGGCAGATCATTGAAATGAAACGTGCCTCTTTCATTTTAGATCAAATTATTTTGTCGTTAAAGGCATTTTTCATTTCTCTATGTACACCGTCATAATCTCAACTACTGTCGTCAGTTCGTATCTGAAAATAAATAAATTTATTTCGCAAAAGAATGAAGTGAATCATGATATTGTTCGTGTGTTGAGTGTATAATAAAAAAGATCAAAACAATATGTTTATACAAAAAATTTATGTATTTTTATATATAGTATGTGTTTGTGCTAAGATTCAGGTCCTCGAGGCTATTTTTCCAATTCTTCTTATTTTGAGCTGCGCTTTCGACTATCTCTTTTATGTTTTTATGTGTATTATTTAAGCTTCGCTGACTGTACAAAGAAACAGCAAAAATCATCATTCGACTTCATTCTTTATCATCATCATCGTCATCTCATGCCTGTGCATTTTTTTTTATTTATTCTTTATTTCATGAATTTCATGTCATCGCCGAAAAGAACAGAAAAAAAGTCAGTCAGAAAAATATCAGCGAAGTTTTTCTGGATCCATCCAAGCATTAATATATGCGAATGAGCTTCATTTCTTCCCTTTGGAAGGGAACGAAAACTTTTCTTCTGTATTCTACAGTTTATTTCGTGCTCATCGCGTATTTTGTATACATATTTATATGACTTAAAAAACGGCGGAAGGAGGCAGACAAATTCTTGTTTCTGACAAAATTACATGCTTTTGATTTCGTTATGATCGTTCTTTAAGTGGATGAACATGTTACTTGGAGCCATTTTTTGTACTTTTCAAAAAAATAAACTTTTTGTTGTTCATGCTTATGCGAAAGGAAAGATTTTCATTAAGGAACACGAGTTTCACTTTCTGCTGTTACACTGATTTTTGGCTCGTTAAAACTAGTTTGTAATTACACGCTTTTTTTGAATATATGTACTAACCTGGTACTAACATATTTTATGCATAACAAGTTATATTTTTGTTTTCAATCATTAGACTGTAATGACAAGTTTTAAATGATACGTAATTTTTATTTGTTTATTTTTGATAAAACGATAGTGTATGAGTTGCTTATCTATATACAATGAAATCATTTGCTAGCCAAAGAAATTATGCATTTACTTTTGAGACGTTCTCAACTAAAGTTCAGTAGAAAACACCAACTGAGATTGTAAGCGGTCATGAAGTAAGGAATACTGTGATTAAAAACATAAAAGCAGTGCTAACAATATTTTATTATTTTAGGAAATACTTTATACTAATTCTCTTTATTTCTTGTACAAAAATGTTTGCACACGGTTTAGTCAAAGAATTGATTGACCAAAAAGTTTATCAAACGATTCATCAAGCATTACTCGAAGATTATCCAGATCAAAAAGTGAAAACTGACTGCTTAATATATTATTATAAAGAAAGAAAGCTTACCGATGAGTTTTACACTTTTGATATAATTTTAAATCCAAGTAAGGTACGAAGTGCAGTTCAAAAAATTGTAGAAGAAGCAAATTTTAAATGTTCTTTTATACAATTTGTAAGCTCGCTTTTTGGAATTTCTGTAATAGCTACAACTGTCATTAGTTTTTGCTTAGTTTGCACAATGAGTAAAAAGATATATCGAAAATGCTGTCGTAAACCAGAATATGTTAATGTAAGAGAACTTTTTTATGCTTCCAATAAAAATACTGAGTTATAAATTAAAAAAAAAAAATCAAAAATCACGAAGTCTTTTATTCTCTGGGTGTTTGATTACTGTTATCTGAAAAACTTTTGACTGTAGACTAATTTTGCGTAAGTGTTAAGTACAGACATTTGTGTTTCTTTATATTTATCAAAACATTGTAAACATATGGGACACATTCTCTTATAAAGTCCGATAATTTTTCAAAACTCATTTTCTCATATATTGAATTTAGCCTGAAAACCTAATTTTTACGATTGACTTGATTTATGAATGTTCCTTTTATCTTTTTGAGATTAAGATTTTATTCAAAGAGGAATTTATAAATTTTAATTTTATTCGTTTGGCATCAGACAAAGCTAAAATGTTTTTCAAGATTATAAAGTAAGTATTGATAAGATTCCGAGTATTAGATAAAAATTTAAGACTGTCATTTCATTATTAAATAAAATCAATATTCCAAATTCTGTGAGATTCCAAATTAAGCTTATTTCATTATTTTCAGTAAACTATTTTTTGTGCAAATGATAACTTTCATTCAATGTGGATTTCTTAAAGTGTTTCCAGATGAAGCAGTTTATGAAACTATAAATGCTATGCTAAAGAATCAGATTTCAAATGATACAAAACTTTATGAGTGCATTGTGGTGCACTTTGAGAAAAATGATATAGCTGACAATTTACCTACATTTTATGATCAGAATAAACTATCAACAGTGATTCAGCCATACATTGATGAAGCAAAATCCTCATGTAAGTCCTTGGAAACTGTCAAATCCTCTCGACTTAAGAAACCCAAGCTTTTAAATGATGACTTTAATAGCAGTAGTAAAATACTAATAGGCATAATGATGTTGCTTCTCGGAATAGCCATAGCTTGTTTGTTTTATTTTATATGTCATGGAACTGAGTAATAAATTCAGCAGCTTTTTTTTTATAATGTCCTGAATGTAAAGAGTCATGTTTAGTAAAACTATCTCCATTTCAAATTCATAAACGAAAAAAGAGCAAATAAAAGAGCTTAAATGAAAAATATGATGATGATGATGAAACATGAAATTTTTTTGTATTTAATGACACAGTTTGCGCGAATATGCCATGCAAACAGATAAAGCAAGAAAATACAGAAATGAGTGAAATTGTTTGTGTACATACATGAGAAACAACAACTGAGAGAAGATGGACATTTTATGTATCATCATGACTAGAAGCGAATTTATGGCAAACCATGAATGATAATGTACGTATGGTGCATGAGCAACAAAAAATATTTTTTTTATGTGTCTTGACAAGAGCAGAAGCATGCAACTTAAAATTGCACATTTGCAGCACAGCACGAATGAAAGGATTCAACATTGTTTGTGGCATGCATCAGAGAGCTTCTTCATGTATGTGTTCAACTATAACAAGAACATATACATGATCTTAGGTTAGCTACTGAAAAAATAGAACCAAGTCATATAAATGGCATATTTGAGTCATTTCAAAAAAATAAAATAGCATCATCATCTTTCTTGGGGTATCATTGAAAGAAATGTTTGGTAAAATTCAGTATCTGAGAAGAGAGATGAATATCATAAAAAATAATATTGGGGAGCTTTAAAGCTCTGTTTTATTACAACACTGTTGTGACATGTACCAGCACGAAATAAAGAGAGAGATTGCTGAAAAATTTCACATTACCAAACCAATAAAAGCAGAGAAAAAAATAAGAAGCAAAACGAAAATTTTCCATCACATAGCAGAAATCTTTTAAACAGTGGAATACCCTTAAATCCAATCGTTAAAATAAGAAGATATCTTATTATGTTACTTATATTGCGGCAATCCCCACAACAAATACAGAATCCTTTTTCTCTCGTTCTCTTTCGACAGTGCAAGAAGGATTTCTTCATCGATTTGAGACGTTAAGGAAAATTTTTGCTCTTGTAAAAAGGATTTTTCACTGCTTTTATAATTAGCAATAGACTTAAGATTGCAATGGAAATAAATAGCAAAACCATTTTAAGGGGGAATTAAAGCAGTCTATATGGATGCTGAAACGTAATTCTTTGTTAATTAAAATTTCTTTAAAAATATTTGATGTCTTTCAATAAAGTTATGGCATTTGAAAATACTTAAATAAGAAACTGTGCTCTTTTAAATAATCAAAATGACTCAAAAATCTAGTAAAACAATCTGGAAAGAAAAAGCTGCAGTCTTCTGCAGTCTTCTGCTTAAGAATCGTTGTCCACACCTAGTACATATCAGTATTGAAATTAATAAATTTACAATCATTTCAAGTAAAAGCTTAAAAGAAAATAAATTCACATTCTTGCATTTTGACTTAGTAAATTATCCTGAATCTTATCTCCTTCCTAACCATAAACCATTTATTGAGAGACATGAATGTATATAATTATATATTCAAGCTCTTGTAAAACCAAAATCCAACAGATTTGTTACTAAAGAAGCAAGAAATTTTTTCTGTGTCTTTACTACATGCTGAATAAAATTTACTTATCCAAACTCACAAGCATTTCCTTTATTCCCTTTACTGGCAAATCATATAAAAAAATATTCTAAAAAGAGAGAAAATCTCAATAGAGTATAGAATATAAAAAGTGCATGCTGGCATGATACCACTTTGGAGTTGGCAAAATTTCAAAAAACTTAAAAACGAAGAGAAGAACAAAAATTTATTGAAACTGCAAGAGTGTGGAGATGGAAGATTAGCGACACATATTTACTGTTTTTCATTTGTATTATATACATTTACATGAAGGTGTTGGGCGTCTAGGGCAATTAGGACTTGCTGAGTAATGGATTTAATTCTACAGTTGCAGAAATAATATAATCTTCGAGACATGGCTGGATTTGTATGAGAATATGAGCGTATTTTCTATATGTTGGATTACAATTTGAAATGAAAATGGAAAAGGGATTTTGAGCATCATTTCATGTTTTTTGTTCTGAGATTTATCGGAAAATTAAAACTATCGAGTTACTGCAAATGAAAATGCTTTTTGTAAAAATTGATCTTTCCATTTGTCTATATGTAATGGGAAGATGAGATTGAAAAATATAGTACATTGCCGTCTTTTGTTCAATCAATATTATTCTATCTTAAGCCTCCCTCTAAAGAAAATGTGTCATTTTAGTTAAAATAGAAAAGATCAAATCTAAATTAGTACTAAATAATCCCAACACATTTCCCTAATTCTTGTAAAATTAAACTTCAAATTTTCTAATCTTTTGTTGATAAAATTAAAAGACAAACGCAAAAATACCAGAGATCGAAGCCGATTTTTTCGGCTTAACTCAATTTTTGATTTTTTTGATAGAAAAAAGCCATTTAACACCCATTTTAAGTTTTTAAATTGAACTTTACATGCTTTACTATGATTCTGTGAAATATTTTTTCAGCATGTAGCTATAGTAATTCTGAGCCGATCGGCTTAAATTTCGGCTTAACATTCTTTAACTTGAAATTCTGAGCTCACTATAGCTACATGCTGAAAAAATATTTCACAGAATCATAGTAAAGCATGTAAAGTTAAATTTAAATACTTAAAATGGGTGTTAAATGGCTTTTTTCTATCAAAAAAATCAAAAATTGAGTTAAGCCGAAAAAATCGGCTTCGATCTCTGAAAAATACCATCAATTTGAACCAAGATGCATAAAATCATCCCTCTTCTTAAAATATCATTACAGAATGGAATGAATGAGAGGATATGAGAAATGTTTAATATCAACCCCTATGTACGTATCATCATTCAGTTAGAAATTCAAAAAGTCATGTAAATGTGCACCACATTTCTTACTGTTTCGATAACAAAACCCACATGATGCAATATATATAAATTCACAGCTTGACAACAAAAATTGCCATTTCTTTTGAGATTTTTTTTTGTTCACTTTCTATAACCTAAAATAAAGAAGTTTCATTCATTGTTTATTGACAATCGTCGCAGTAGATTGTGAAGAAAAGGCAATCGATATCGGGTGAAATGAATGATGGAAAAAACCAGTAGAAAAACCAGTAATTGAGTTAATGTTTGTTTTGAGAGTGCCTTTACACATGGTTAGAGTATTTGGAATCGAACCAACACCTTCCAAGATGATTTTTACTCATATGTAAATTACCATCAACCCAAAATGATCATAAAAAATTTATGAATTTATTGAAAAAAAGAGTTATAAGAACAGTAAAAATCAAACAACAGTGGCAATGTCAATGGTCTAGATAGTGAGCGAAAAGCACATAGTTAATATAATATAATATCATATAATCATTTCTCTTCTTTTACTTACATTTCTGCTTTTTACTTTCTATACTTATTGTCAAATCACAATGAGTCCTTTACTCATTGATTTTTCTTCTTAACTGTGCTTTTCTGTATTGACTCTGATTGATTTTTTTTTCTTTCTTTTCTCATTCATTTCATTACTCTATTTTAATATTGGTAAGGGGTTGCTTAAATACCCTTTCATTGTTGTTCAAGAAACTTTCCTTAAGTGACTTTTTGAAAACTTTTTCTTCTGCTCACTTTAATCGACGAAAAGAAGTAATGTTGAAAAAGATGAGAAGATTGTTAATATACGATATTAACATATTTATTTATCTATGATATACTTTTATACTTTCTATAAATTTCACTAGATGTCACTTTAGTATATCCAAATTATGCTTTAGATTTGAATTATTTCATGTCGTTAATGAATTTGATAATCATTAGGTATTTCATAATTTATTGTAATGTATAACTTTAGAATGACGTTATGCTAAAGTTGAATATACTTTCATTCAAGGGCATAATAATTGCAGTGCCGTGTGCAATTTGGTGTGCACATTCCTTTGTAAGGCCTTGAAGCAATTAGTATAAAAGAAGATAGCATAGCATGAATAAAGGAGTCTATTTTTTATTATCAATAGATCCAGACCTTCTTGTTTTAAATATTTATCAACTTCACCATTTGCAGTTGTGCAACATTGGTCCTTCGGTTCGTTGAAACATTGATAGAGAGTGTTGTTAAGAATCGGAAATAATTTGTAAGTCTTTGAAAAAACTTTGAAAAAATTGAGTTTTTAATAAGCACTTAGAAATATTTTGCGGTCACACAGATAGTGTTGTGATGAGAAAAAGTGTATGCGGTGAATAAATCTTGAGCAAGTTTGTAAACCATTAAAGTCGTTTCTGGCCAGAACGCATCAGGTGAGTGAAGTGAATTTTTCAAAAGGATTAATTCATTTATTGTACTATAATTAATTCTAACAAGTGTGTGGTTAAATTAATATTATAGTTTTTGAGATCTTGTTGAGATTTGGTGAGAGAAATTTGTGGATTTTTTTCTTGTTTTGTGACATTAATTTAAAAATAATTAATTGTTCGGCATTAAGTGCATTTGCAAATTTAATTTTAATACAAAAGGTATAAAGGAAATTAGAATTTCGCAATATTACAAGTTTCTATCGGTAATTGGGAAATTGTATGGAATAAAATTAATTATTTTATTCTTGGTTCTATCAAGGGTACAAAAGTTACCAAGGATTAGAACATTTTTTTAAAATAAATCTTGTACAAGTTGAAAATCACATATTTGTGTGTCTAATTTTGAGGGTACCTAAGTTGCGAGCAAAATTAGTGAGCAAGGTCAATTAAAGCATTGTCTTTCTCTGGGCTTTACATATTAGTGTAGGTGACACATAATTGTAGAGACGTTTTTTTTATTGTATTTTCTTTTCTCTATACATTTGGGAAAGAGAAAAAAAAAAATTGCTTTTGTTCTCTCCGTGTGAGAGTTTTTTTTGTGTGCATAAGGTGCATTAGAATTATTTCATTTACCCAGTAAGAAATTTTTTTTTAAAAAATTCCGGTCTCAACAAGAGGTTCGAGCGGGATGGGTGACAAAAATGAAGATAATAAGATTGACGAAGAAACGTACAAAAAGTATGGAGAATTGCGTGATAAACAGCAAGGTTTTCAATTACTGGTTTCGGGTTTGTTTACAAGAGTTCAAAGTTTTTCTAAAAATACTCGTACTGAAGCAGAGGAAGTTTTAGGAAAACTTGTGACTGCTTGGCCAGAAGTCAAATCTTTACATGCTCAACTAAAAGAATTAAATAAAGAGGGTGTTCTTAATAATTTGAGTTATTTTAAAGAAAGTCGTTTTGACATAGTGAAGTCAATGGTTGATGTTTCAAAAAAGCGCATTTTTAAGTTGTTTCCTGATGAGCAGGATTTTCTTAATTTGTCTTCTTCATCTCAAGACTTTGAAGATGATTTTGAAGCGGGATCTGATATAGATGATTCAGCTGATAGTGAGCGCATGCAATCCATGCAAAAAGAGCTTAGTGAGCTTAAGAAAGTTGTCACTAGGGGAAGCTCTAGCAATAATCGAGAGGAACTATTGCTCCGTTATTTGCAGCATGTTGATGCTGACAATAATTTTCCTGAATTTCCAGCACTTGAGTCAGAGTATCGAGTCTGGCGTAAAAAAGTTAGGACTTGGGAGGCTAGGTCTCCAAATATTCCTTCAGAAATCAAGATTGATTTTCTGTTGAAAGCAATTAATAAGAATTCAAACGCTCGTTCTATCGTGAAATGTTTTGATAGTAGTGTAGGTTCGAATTATGATCAAATGCTTAAAGCTTTGGATGAGCAATTTTTTACAGCTCGTCAAACGGTTTATAATCATTTTATGGGACTTGTTAATCCAAATATTAAGGCTACCAAGGGTAGTGAATACCTTCAAGAGGTTTTTAATAAGTTTTCCTTTGAATGGAAAAATTTTGAGTCATTTACATCTGAGCTGATGAGCGAAGATCAACATGACAATGAGCTTGAAAAGCTAAAGTTTCAAATTAATGTTATTAAGAATGCATTGTTGTTTAATTTGTTGGATGAAGGCACTAAAAATAAAGTTGTGCTTCATTTAAAAATTACTCCTGATAAAATTCCAGATTTTGAAGATGTTTTGGAATATGTCAAGATTATGTTTCTCAATGTGCGTGGCACTAGGGAGCTTATATTACCTGCGGGAAGTAAGGTTAGGGAACCTACAAAAGCTTCAAATTGCAAGAAGATTGATA